TATGCTTCACAGTTTTAGTTTGTCAGTGACAGCTGGAAAGGATGATCAATCAATTTCCATGCCATTACTCAATCAAAAGGTAAACATACGACTTATGTATGATTTCTTCTTCACTATTTAAACTCTTTTATGAAACATACACATTCAACTTCTAATTCCCAAATAATACTATTTATACTTTGTCATATGTAATCCATTTTCATCGTTTTCAATTCACTGTCTGCGTATATATTACGTATATTTGATTTTCTAATTTACCTACTAACAAGATCCCTTGACACATCTGTTGCACTGGTTGTAAATGATATGGCAGAAGAATTGATATTTATGTATTTAGTTGAAATTATATTGATATGCTGTTGATGACAGGTTACATTCCCAGAATTAGAGACGCTGGCTATCAGGTACATGAATCGTTGGAACTCAATATGGCACAATCAACAAGCTCCGAATTCGTTTTGCAAGCTGAATAAAGTAGAAATTACTGGATGTGATGCCTTGCATCATGTTTTTCCAATTGCTATGCTTAAGGAACTTCAACAGCTCCAAGTGCTTGAAATATCCACGGCTAATATAGAGAATACTGTTGAAGAGAATAATAGTCATGATGTTGAACAAGGTTTCCTTTGCACTCTTTAATGAAAAGGTATATGATCTACTTCACTACTTAAAATCTATTTTGCAGCTTAAATGTTTAACACCATTGTAAGAGTTTTCTTGAAAAACAGAAATGGTGGATTTGACAAAATAAAGTGTGGATTTGATATATAAGGTCTGTGTAGATAAATTTCTTAGAAGCACTAGGGAGAAAACAATATGAAGAAAAAAATGAAATCAATTCCTCAAGCTAAAATTAATTTATGCATTAGTTAATTTATAAAAGTTATTTTCTATTAGCTTCTATAAAATCTGATTTTTATTTACTTGTGCATAAATCAATTTTAATTTAAGAAGTAAATTTCATTTTCTTTCTTATTTTTCCTCCTAAAAGTGGTCATGGAGAAGTTTTATCCAAACGAGCCCAGAATTCATCTAATTTGCCCAAATTCCAACTGATGCTGCATAGATGTAATTTTCTAACTCCCCTGCTAGAAATCACCAAACACACTTGTCCTTAGTTGTTGGAATTTGTTATAACTATAAGAAATAATTTGATTTAGCTGAGTAATATTCTTCCCCCCATCAATTAATACGCAAAATAACATTGTGATAAGGTTGTGTGCTTCAATAGGTTGCAATGCCCAACCTTCAAATGTTGGAGCTGGCCATGGTCAATTTACCCAAGATATGGGATGATGAACTTCCACTCCAAAACCAGAAGATTTTGACGGTGAGATGTTATCATCGTTTAGTAAGTTTATTCTCATCCTCAGAGGCTAGAGCTCTAGTCAAACTGCAACATCTTGAGATTTCAGCTTGCGATGAGTTGGTGGAAATATTTGTCGAACAAGAAAAGGTGAGCATTGTTGAGTTTAACTTCCCAATTGGATCATCCAACACTTAAGCATTTAGCTGGAATATATGTTGATATGTTGCTTGTGATAGGTCACATTCCCAAACCTGGAGAAACTGTTCATCAGAGGCATGAATGGTTTGAAGTCAATATAGAACAATCAACAAGCTCAAGAATCTTTTTGCAACCTGAATAAAATACAAATTACTAGATGCGATACCCTTCATCATGTTTTTCCAGTTGCTGTGGCTAAGCAGCTTCGACAGCTCAACGTGCTTGAAATATCAATGTCTAATAATATAGAGACCATTGTTGAATAGAGACATAGTTGTGATGCACTACATGATGCTCCCCATGGAAATGAAGGTGATGCACTGAATGAAATTGTTGCTTCAAAGGAGTCAAAACCTGAAATTGGGAATAAAGGTGATGCTCTAGGAGATCTAGTTTTTATGAAGTTAGAGGAATTGAACTTGGAAGACTTACCAAAGCTTACAAGCTTTTGCAAGACATGTTACAACTTCAAGTTTCCAGCACTTGAAACAGTACGTGTGACTAAATTTCCCAATTAAAAGACTTTCTGTAATGGAAACTTAATCACTCCAAAACTTTCAGAAGTACGACATGGATATGAACTGCGGGAGGAACTAGACTGTTGGGATGGTGACCTTAATACCACACTGGGAAGGTAATTAACACTCAACCAAACGTCATCAATCACAATTTTTAATTCCCACTTTTAATGTTTATATTAATGCTCCAATTTTCTTGTGTAATCAGAATAGGAAAAGAAATTTGAGTTTGTCACCAAAATCAGAAGGGAAGAAGCTATCAGTTTGCTCACACGAGATATATATATAAGGTATTTTGTGTTTTGCTTTGTAAACCCTTGAATTTTTTTTTTTTTCTTTTTTTGTTTTCATAATTTTTCTGTAATTTTAGAAACTTTGATACTTTTTATTTCTTTTCCATTTAAACTTTGAACTGTGTTATATAACAAATCATCCAATAATTATACATTTCACATTTTTGCCTCTCATCTCTCCTTTTCTCTCCTTGTTGTAAAATTTATTGTGCAAAGAACATTTCTCTTAAATGTCATTCACTGGGCCCTGATTATAAAACAATTTGCATGGAGCAAACCAGATTATTAGTTGGGTTGATTGAAATATCACTAGCAAAAAGTTCTGACAACTTTTATCTTTCATGAATAAAATATTTTTAAATTTCATCCACCTTACTTTCTTAAGCATTAAGAAATCTGTTATGGGAAAGCATGTCACGTTACAGGACCTTGCATATTGTTATATTCACAATTAACAACTCGTGTTTGTGGTCTTCGCAGTTGTGACCATGCAATGTCTTCACAGCGTTGGTAAAGAAAGCAATGAGTCAGGAACACGTGTCTTTGTTTATGTTTTTTCCCTGCTTCTCATCTTAGAGGGAAAGAAGGATATAGCCAAAACAAAAACAGTTCCAAAAGCAAAAGTAAAAGAAGGCATTAAGCTTTGCAATCAGTGCACAAAGCAAAGCGCATAGACACACTCTAAAGCTAAAACAAAATCAAAAACAGCTTCAAAAAGAAAAAGTAAAAGAATGCATTCAACTTTCCGGTTAGTCCACAAAGCAAAGTGCACCGAAGCTTACCTCACCAAGCAAACACTATGGAGAAGATTCAACATATATACCATGCATCCGTGTCATCACCCTTTTGCTGGTTTCTTAGCTCAGAGCAATGTCAGAGATTGTACCTGCAGAACCCATTGAAGGCATCTACTTCGAGCGAGGAGAGACGTCAACAGCATCAGCATCGGCATCAGAGACACCCCATGTCACGTTGGCCATCACCAATGGCAGCAACAACGATGAATATGCTCCTGAACCCTTTGACAGTGAAAGGTTGCCAACAGTTTTTGCTTCTGAAATTCAAAGGTTCCTTCGAGTGGCTAACTTACTCGGCAAGGAGGAGCCTCGTGTTGCATATCTTTGTGAGTCCTTTTTTCTATCTGTGTGTCTTTGTTAATTTCTTTTCTCCATTTGTTCGTTTGTTAATTCTGGGAAATTCAGTTTCTTCTGAAATTCGTGCATAATTTGGATGTCCTGCAACTGATTTCTTTTTCTTTTTTGAACTGTGTGAATTGGATTAAAAATGTTTTTAATACTTAAAAAACACTATTCTTTGTTTTATCTTCTTGAAAAACTTGTTCATCTTTAACCATTATATTTAACATGATAATGTGACTGTAATCCCTCTCAAGGATCTATAGGAGGCAAAGTGTTAACTTTAGGAACTAAAGTTGGTAATGTAAAAATACAGAGAGACAAACATTTAATTTTAGAAGTTGGGGACTAAAATAAACACTAGTGATATTCTGAGTGGCCAGGACATATTTAAACCTTTGAGTTATATATGCTTATTTTATTTTATTTTATATTTTCAGATGTCTAGATTGAAGAATTTTTGGGTAAAGTAGGGTGCGTAAAGTGGGAATTTTAATGTCTTTTGAAAGATAGTGATGATTGGTAGTATGTAGGAGTAGAAGGCCATGCGCACAGAAACTACAATTGTCAGTGGTTGTTGTGTAAGTAAAATTGGTTGTTACATAATGGTGATGATTACTTAATCAATTTTCCACTGAAGTATACTACTGTTGACTGTAGTTATATTTATAAAAGTAAATAGAAGTTAGAATGGAAGCTCAATTTATCTATTCAATTACGTAAATCATAATCCAGAAATTGCACTAAAAGCACAAAATATCTAAAAGTACACCAAATAAGGAGAGGAGAATTATCCGTGCAGTTCAATTTCCTGATATTATTACTATCTTGTTTATATCATTCTTCAATTGGAAAACAAGTGTACCATGCACAGTGCAGTTTTTAGGTGATGGGTTTTTCATTTTGATTGAAGTACACAAATTAGAATCATTTCATGCATACATTTATAGAATAATTTGGTGCTTTCTCAACTTATAAGTTGTAAGCCATAAAGCCATGAAGCCTCTCCACTTGAATTTGATTATTTCTGCGTTGTAGGTAGTCTTGTACTTGACAAAAATGAGATTCTCAGTTGATCATTATCAATATATGCATTTCACATTGTCCCAGTAAACCAAATCTGCAGGCCGTGTTCATGCCTTTGTGATTGCACACAACTTGGACAAAAATTCTAGTGGAAGGGGTGTTAGACAATTCAAAACTTCACTACTTCATCGACTTGAACAGGTAAACAAGAATGTTGTAGCTCACACATTAAAGAGCAATTTTCCTTAGTAGTAAGTTAGTGAATGAATGTAAAATTAAGAATGATCTCTGTTTTAGATAATAAGTTGCTAAAATTTGAAGTCATGATCCATTTGAGCTTTCCTGTTGTGACTTATCTATCTATATATCCAAGATAAACATGAGATAAAAAGATTTTAGTTTGTCTCTCTTTAATTTTTCTCAATCAGAAACATTTATAGAATTTATAATGGAACGGTGAGATTAATACTTAATGCATTGTTTTTGCTTATAAGGTTAGGAAAGTTAATCATTGCATGTTGTTTTGTCAATTGTGGCATACAGGATGAGCACGATACAAAAAAGAGGGGAACAAGTGATATTCGTGAACTTAAGCATGTTTACCGTGCCTATAGGGATTATTATATCAGACATGATAAAGCATTCGATCTAGAACAAAGGTACATATCTAAGCTTAAATATATAATTGCATCATTTTCCCATTGAACAAAAAATTGCAAACTCCTTAGCAACCTACTAAACCAACTCATGATATTATATCCAAACAGTCGAAGAGAGAAATTGATAAATGCACGAGATATTGCTTCAGTTCTGTTTGAGGTACTCAAGACAGTTACGGATCCAACTGCTACTCAGGTGACCCCTTTAGTGTCTTCCTTGTCATATATTTTGCAGTACCCTTTCCTAGTAATTTCATGATCTGCTTGGTCAGGAATAAGAAGAATCTCAATTTGCCATTTATTTGTTTTCCTTGGAATTTCTCACTTTTTTCAACATAGGCACTTATTCAAGGAAATGCAATCCATAGAAAAACTGAATTTAACATTCTTCCACTGGAGCAAGGAGGCATTCAACATGCAATTATGCAGCAGACTGAGGTCTGGCATTTCTTGAATGATTCACATTTTCCCATTTCATTGATGTCTTATGTTCAAGTAACATAACACTATTGCAGTATGATTGACTGAGTGTACTACTAACAAAATTGATACAGATTAAGGCTGCCATTGCAGTTATTCGCAATGTTCGTGGTTTACCCCCAGCCCAAGATTTCAAGAAGCACGGAGCCTTTTTGGATCTATTTGATTTTCTTCACCATTGCTTTGGATTTCAGGTCACTTCTCCAAGTTATATTGGACTCAAGCTTTCCTTTCACTTCTGTAGATATTTGATTACTGTATAGAAAAAAACTCTCCTTTTGTTCAGTTTTAAGGGCATGATGTAGTGATGTATGATCAGCATTTCTCCTTCTAGTATTTCATGATTTTTAATTCTCTATGTGTCTATTACCTTAGGAAGCCAATGTTGCCAACCAAAGGGAACATCTTATTCTACTCCTAGCCAATATGCAGACTCGTCAAACTCACGACCAGAAATCTTTTTTGAAGGTGCATTTGCTTTTGAACATGTATATTTTGATTTTACATAATGATAATTGGCACTATAAACTATATCATCATTTTAATGAATCAGTTAGGGGAAGGAGGTGTGGATGAACTGATGAGAAAGTTTTTCAAAAACTATACCAACTGGTGTAAGTTTTTAGAAAGGAAAAGCAATATCCGGTATGTTTATTGATCTAGTTCTATTTCTATTGTAACTTTCAATAATTTATACTGTATTTGTTCTTCTGATAAAAGATAGGCTGGTACCTCTCTTTTTCTCAACCTTGTTTTTTACTTAGCAAGCCTGCTACTTGTGTTGCAGTTTACCTTTTGTGAAACAGGAAGCCCAACAATATAAAATTTTGTACATTGGGCTTTACCTGCTCATTTGGGGGGAGGCAGCTAATTTGCGGTTCATGCCGGAATGTCTCTGCTATATTTTTCATCATGTACGTTGAAACTCAACAAATTCTTATTTTCCTTTTCTTGTAAAAAACAATGTTAGACTCTACAAGCGTCAATTAGTTTATGAAAATAAATTTTGTTTTTTATGCGATCTACAAATGCCATGTGGAATTTTAAACATTTCATGGACAAAGAGTATGAACGAAATGTAATTCATAGAATCTTGAATCCGTGATTCACAATATAACATTGTAGTGTTGTTTGATCCATGTAACGTACATTTTTCTTGTTGATAGAATCTTAATAAGTTTTTTTTTTTTTTTTTTTATCACAAAGTGAAACTGAGTTCTCATACATGATGAAGTTATATAACGCACTAATGAACACCTCTATATCTTCCGTGATTGGCATTTCTAGAAACCTTACATCATACATTATTCTCTAACCTATTTTCGTCCTTCTTGTGTGTGTTCTCAAGATGGCATATGAATTGCATGGAATTTTAAGTGGTGCTATCAGCTTAACAACATGGGAAAAAGTCATGCCTGCATATGGAGGAGAACCAGAGTCTTTCCTTATCAATGTTGTCACACCAATATACAATGTTATAAGCAAGGTACTATCTAATATATCCACTCTTTTGTTTTTTGTATTGTCTTCTTCAATATAACTAATTCATTTTCATTTCAAAGGAAGTTGCCAATAGCAACGGTGGGGCAGCTGATCATTCTGTATGGAGAAACTATGATGATCTGAATGAATATTTTTGGTCAGCATTACATTTATAATAATACTTCTCCAGTTGTTTTATATTGCCTTCATTCCATATCATCTGGTCCTTACTTCTGTTCAATATATGCAGGTCCCCTGATTGTTTCAAAATTGGTTGGCCCATGCGTGAGGATCATGACTTTTTCTTTGTAAGAGATAGAAAGAAACCAAAACCAGATGTCAAGAATGACCCAGATGCGTCATCTAGTAAAACCAAAGAGAAGAAAAAGAGAGAAAAGAGGGATGAAGAAGAACCAGAGGTTATTCTGTGATTCTCAAATGCATTATACTTCAGATTTTCTATTAATGAATTTGAACCATAAAACTAAAACTATATGAAATTCCAAATGAAATTTGAATTTTATGTTTCTTCAACATATGTGGTTACTCGTCATTATATCTAGTGCTCACAACTCAGGGCTCTTATTAGGTAGACATATCTTAAGATACTGCTGCTTATTTACTTTTTTTATGAAGTAAAATTTGCTTTAGAAATTCTTTTGAATTATTGGATATAAAGGCCAAGTGACTGCTTAGTTGAGTTAGTGCTAACTCCAATGAAGTCAGTGCTAACCCATGAATAAAAATTCCATACCAATTTTTTATTTATTTTGGAAGATGATTCAAAATCTTTATATTGATCAATGAAAATTTTGTACTTCCTAATTCCTTTGGAGTCATATGCTAGAGGGAATTCATTCATTATTTCTATCCACCAAAAGATAGGTAGGGATATTTCTCTTGAACTGATAACCTTATAATCTATTGTTAAAACAAATGCATACGGTACAACTAAAGGGTAAACCAAGGTTCAAAAATAAAGTTTCTGCAGCATTGTGACCTCTTCTAGGTCACTGGTTCAAATCTTAGAAATAATCTCTTAGCATGTAAGAGGGTAAGGCTGTGTACATCTACCATAGAAACCACTAGAAAAGTCTTTTGTACTCAAATCTGACATATTAAATGTAAACTCTGTTATTCAATGTCTCTTGTAGGAGATTACCTCTCTATACTGAAAAATATACTTGTTTTTATTTCTTTTCCATGCACAGGATACCAAGGGGGAAACTCATGAACAAAAATGGCTGGGAAAGACAAATTTTGTAGAGATTCGCTCATTCTGGCAAATTTTTAGATGCTTTGATAGAATGTGGAGCTTTTACATTATATCCCTTCAGGTTTACTCAAAATCTAATGCAGATAATTTACAAATTTCTGCTTCTTATGGTATATAATCTTGAAATTTGACATGTGTTGCTTCTCAGGCCATTATAATAATTGCTTGTCATGACCTGGGATCTCCAATACAGTTGTTTGATGCAATAGTATTTGAGGACATAATTAGCATCTTCATTACCTCTGCAATTCTTAAACTAATTCAAGGTATGGTGGTCTTTTATATAAATTGGCATTGAAGTTTGTTTAATTGGATGAAACAAATAGAAGTAAATTTGTTAATAAGAACTCAAAGTTATATTTTATTGACAAGAAATGTTGCACTGCCAATCGATTGATTGCTTCCAGTCACTTGATTCTTTGTAGATGTAACTTCTTAGGGTATATTTGTTGGGAAGTTAATTTCTAAATCATTACTCAGCTAAAACTTTTAAAATTAATGAGGATATATTAATTTGCCAATTTGGGAAATAAACCCCTTTTAACCTACCCCAACCATAAATGTTTATTTTCTTCTGCTATATATATATATATATATATATATATATATATATATATAGCAATGTGGAAATAGTAGATCAACTCAGCAGCGTACATGTAACATAACAGCCACATCAGATTATAACGTTTTTCGTTAGCTCTGTGACGAAAGGATCAAAATGAACCATTTTAAAAAATTAAAGGACTAAAATGCTCTTTAAAAGTTAAGTGACTAAAGTAAACATAATATATAAGTTCAAGGACCAAAAGTATAATTTAGCCTTCAGTTTTCATATTAACATCCTTGATATTATATATGGATAGTGTGCCCCTTGTTCTTCCTCTCATATAATTATGATAATAAAGGTTCCCATGTTTTTGTCACAGCAATTTTAGACATTGCATTTTTGTGGAAAGCAAGATATACCATGGAATATTCTCAAAAGGTGAAACTAGTGATGAAGCTGATCTTAGCCGTTATATGGACTATTGTTCTTCCTGTTTGCTATGCTAATTCGAGAAGAAAATATACCTGTTATTCCACAAAGTATGGAAGCTTGATTGAGGAATGGTGCTTTACTTCCTATATGGTTGCTGCTGCAATATACCTGACAACTAATGCAGTTGAAGTTGTGTTATTTTTTGTCCCTGCTGTTGCCAAGTATATTGAGGTCTCTAATTACAAGATATGCAGAGTTTTATCTTGGTGGACTCAGGTAAGTTCGTCTTATATGTTACTATATTTTTTGTCAGCATGTTAACTTCTCCAGAATTGCTAGACCAATTTTGTCATTTAATTAATTTCTGATATAATTACACACCACATCTTAATAATCATTCCAGTATCTACTTCTGTCTGTTTCTTGCTTCAATGAATCCATGTACTGGATAATGTGATTGTTTTTGACATCCTCTTAGTAATATCACTATACATGCATCATCTTTTAGAGCAATGAATTTTTCTTTTGGTCAAAATTATTCTTTCTATTCCTGCGTTTGGGAGGACAACATCTGCTGGATGTGTTCATTTTCATCACCTGTCAGCCAGCTCTAGAATTGACAAGTATAAATTATTTTCCTGTGATTTTTATGAGCATGTAATTGACTGAAATATTCATCCATGTCATTATATGTTGTAACTTGAGTATCACATTTGTTTATCATACAGCCTAGAATTTATGTTGGTCGAGGGATGCAAGAAGACCAGGTTTCTGTTTTAAAGTATATCCTATTACCTTGTTGGCTTGTTCTGATAATTTACATTTAGATGCTTTAGTATATCTATCCTAGTATATATATAAATATATTGATTTTTTTCCAATACAGGTACACATTATTTTGGATAATGGTGTTATCATGTAAATTTTTGTTTAGCTACAGTTTTGAGGTAATAATAACAGAACACAGATTGTGCAAGCAGATCAATTTGGTTTTATTATTTAGCTATTAATCTTAGTGACCAATGCAATATCATGCATGCAGATAAAACCACTCATAGCACCTACCAGACAGATTATGAAAATTGGGGTACAGTATGAATGGCATGAGCTTTTTCCGAAAGGTATGGTGCATTTTTAATTGTTTTCGTCATAAAAGGGATTAGTTGATGTCTCTGATAACAGTCTGGATGTGATGCAGTCAAGAGTAATGCTGGTGCAATTATAGCTGTATGGAGCCCTGTAGTAATTGTGAGTCGGAATCATTGCTCTGACACGTACAATTCTTTGCTGTTAACTTCAAATCAGCATTCTAAATATTCTTATCATGAAGACATAGGGTGAAGAACATATTCTTCTGTATAAATCTTTGTCAATGAAATGGTCTATGAGTCATTATGTGTTTAGATAAAATTCCTTCATGTAATGATTCTTTCTTCTAAGAAAACCATTTTGATCGACTGTTAACAAAATTCCATTCTATGTTTATTGAAGGTATATTTTATGGACACACAAATTTGGTATTCTGTTTTCTGTACAATAATTGGTGGACTTTATGGCATTTTGCATCACCTTGGTGAGGTAAGCTGTGGTTTTTATTTGCTTCTTTCTTTCTTTTCCCACAGAATCAAGATGGTCATCTCATATCTCTTATTAAAAATAGATAAGGACACTCGGAATGCTGAGAAGTAGATTTGACTCCTTACCTTCAGCATTTAATGTCTGTTTGATCCCACCATCTTCCAAACGTGGTAAAAAGAAAAGAAAAGGTCTCCTCAGCAATATATTTCAAAAGGTGTGTTCTAAATTAGCAATTTTAGGATAAGATTATTTCACTATGTATATGTTCTCTTATGTTGACCACTAATATGTGTTGCAGTTGCCGGATGAAAAAAATGCCACTGCCAAATTTGTTGTAGTATGGAATCAAATTGTAAATCAACTACGTCTTGAAGACTTGATCAGTAATAGGTGATGTTTGTTGTAATTTTCCTGCGCTACTTTGTCTTATTCGACCACCTAACAATGTATTTTTCAACAGAGAGATGGATTTGATGATGATGCCTGTGTCCTCAGAATTGTTTTCTTCCAAGGTTCGATGGCCTGTTTTCCTCTTGGCAAATAAGGTAATGTGATTTTAACCAAAATATTATGAGATTACTGTTGTATAATTATTAACTGTACATCTTTTATTCATTAATGAACTCTTCCTGTACACATTCTAGTTTTCTACAGCTTTGACCATTGCTAAAGATTTTGAGGGAAAGGAAGAGACTCTTGTCAAGAAAATTACAAAAGACAAATACATGTTTTATGCTGTAAGAGAGTGCTACCAGTCGCTAAAATATGTTCTTGAAATTCTGGTTGAGGGTAGCATGGAGAAAAGGTAAAAAAGAAATAGAATGTTTATGTGGATACTATCTTCCTTCTTGAACTACTTTGTTTTCTGTTTAATGTTATCCTTATATCCTCCTAGGTGGTCATTGCTTAGCTTACGAAATTTTCACATGATTTTTTATATGATCGGTATTTATGCATATATAGGATCATATGTGATATACTAAGCGAAATTGAAAAGAATATCCAAGAAACAAATCTTCTAAAGAACTTCAACATGAAAGTTCTCCCAGCCCTACATGCTAAGGTCGTTGAGCTAGCTGAACTTCTGGTAATTGTTTCCTAGACCTAAACTAAAGGCTAAGTATGTTGACAAATTTGTATGATCGGTAATTTTGAGTCCTAATAACTTTGATATAAATTCCATAAGATGGAGGGAGAAAAAGACCATCAGCACAAAATTGTGAAAGCCCTGCTAGATATATTTGAATTGGTAACAAATGATATGATGGTTGATTCCAGGTATTGTTGCTTAAAAATCTATTTCCTTTAATATATTACTATGCTTCAGCTTCTAATTGCTTACTAAATCTGTACAGAATATTGGAAATGTTCCACTTTCCCGATCAAAATGAGTGTGGCTTTGTCTATTTTAGAAATGATGATCAACTATTTGACACCGTGGAAAAGAATAGGGATTTCTATCCATTTTCCAATGAGAATTCTATCCAATTTCCATTGCCAGAAAATGGTCCTATGATGGAAAAGGTGATGTTTAATAGCCCGAAAATGTTTTCTTGTCATTCTATTTTCATCAGGGACTAGTTATTATACTCACAACTTCACTTATAAATACTGGCACATATGTTTAGTAATGAGAAGTTCCATCTGGAAACAGTTTGAAATCAACTCGTTAAGCTCTGATATAATCAGACTATTCATGGCAGATCAAGCGTTTTCATTTGCTGCTTACAGTCAAAGAAGCAGCAATGGATGTTCCTGCAAACTTAGATGCTCGAAGGCGCATATCATTCTTTGCTACTTCACTGTTTACAGATATGCCTGATGCTCCAAAAGTTCATAATATGATGCCATTCTGGTAATTACATATGTCCAGCATTACATTTCCTTTGATAGGTTGATAATAAATGGTACATTATGTTCTTGTAGTGGTATTCATACCACTTCTCGCTTAATTAATATTTAATTTGAACCACACTATTATCCGACATTCATCAATCATAAATGACATAATCAGAATTCCTTTATTCAGTGACAGACATATCAAACTAAGGCATAATGATTTAACTTGTAAATAAGGATTTAGTGAAAATTGTTATAGTCCTGTAGTTAAATCACAGAAATCTCTCTGATATATAACGTGATTGGTAGTGTTATAACTCCACATTACATCGAGGACATTAATTTTTCGCTTAAGGAGCTTGGTTCAGATAAAGAGGAGGACTCCATCATCTTCTACATGCAAAAGATATATCCAGGTTCTTTACATATGAATTTATTTGTATCTTAAACTTCTATTTGAATTCATCTCATAGATTGTTACACCAATTTCAATAGATGAATGGAAAAATTTTTTGGAACGAATGGGTTGTGAAAACCGTCTATGTTTAGAAGATGAACACAAGATAGAAGATCTTAGACTGTGGGCTTCATTCCGTGGCCAGACACTAAGCAGAACAGGTTCGGTTTTTTGCTATTCTCGTTGGATATGCATTCAATTATAAGTCATTTCGTGATCACTGCAATCATATTTGTAACAGTTAGAGGGATGATGTACTACAGAGAAGCCTTAAAATTACAAGCATTTCTTGATATGGCTGAAGAAGAAGGTTTGTTACCAATTACAAGTGACATTATCCACCAGTATTATGCTAAGAAATATAGAAAAAAAAACAACATAATCAAATAATTTCATGACTGTTTCTGTTAAAACAGATATTCTTGAGGGTTATGAGACTGCTGAAAGAGGTAACCGTGCACTGTTTGCTCGTCTAGAAGCACTAGCAGACATGAAGTACACCTATGTTATTTCCTGTCAGTCATTTGCATCACAAAAGGCTATGAACGATCCACGTTATCAAGATATGATCGACTTGATGACAAGGTAACCTTTTACAAGGAAAGAGAAAGATGCCTTTCTTCTTAATATGTAAGCAGACAATAAACCTTGCATGCGACACCTGCAGGTATCCATCCCTTCGTGTTGCTTATGTTGAGGAAAAGGAGAAGATAGTGCAGGGTAAAACTCACAAAGTATATTCATCTAAACTGGTTAAAGTTGTCAATGGTTTTGAGCAGGTATTTTTCTACATCATGAAAAAAATTTAGTCTTAGAAATAGGTCACAATACCTCTTAAACAGCAGAAGCATCAGTTACAAAAGATATTATTATAGCCGTAAGATTATGTTAACCACAATCACATTGCTTGACCTCTTAATAAAAAAAATAAAAACTTCAACAAATCCCTCAATTTAGATGTTGAAATGAAAGTCAACTGTTCATGCATTCACTTCATTTTTAATTGCAGTAATTTCCATCAAACTGACAATATTTTCTAGTCATGTTCTTCAACATATCATGGATGTTTGCTTTGTTTTCGGCCATAAAAGTCTTGAGTTGCCTTTTACTTTTATTGTGCTTGTTGTTCTTCTAATAGTTTCCTGAGCCCAAAATCTTTTATTTCATGACGTTAGTGATACTGTGCAAGCATTATTTATTCATTCTTTTTTGCATATTTAAAACAAAAAGTCAGGAGTTCTGATAAAGGCATTACTGAAAGTATAGGTAAATAGGATAGTAGAATTTGCATTGCTGAGAATCCATGTGGGAGGATCATACGTAACTCTATGAATATCAAATACCAAAATATATGTATAATAATATTCTTAGAGAAGGGAAATTTCAACTCTTGACAAAAAACCCTACAATATTCTCAAAAAAACACTACAATATACTCTTGACCGTTTATTCGAACAAACTTTGATGTCATATCATGAAATCAACTACCCTACAAGTGCAATTTTATAAGGCCAACGCGCAGAATCGGTTTTTGTTAATTTCTTTAATGTTAAAACTCAGAAATATGTTATCAAATCAGATTGGTTTTTTGACATGTAGCTATTCAGATGCATCATTATTGACATGATACAACTGTTTCTTCTTTTATAGACAATATATCAAATAAAACTACCAGGTCCACCGCATCTTGGAGAAGGGAAGCCTGAAAACCAAAACAATGCAATAATATTCACGCGTGGTGAAGCACTCCAAACAATTGATATGAATCAAGTAGGCCTATTTTTTGTTTAATTTTTTACAAATTAACTATTTGCTATCATTATGTTATGAAACTTGGTCATTTCTACTATGTCTTACGAGTATCTGATTTTACAGGATAATTACTTGGAGGAAGCTCTAAAGATTAGAAACCTTCTCCAAGAATTTCTTCGGCGCCAAGGAAGGCGTCCTCCTACAATACTTGGCTTAAGGGAACACATTTTCACAGGAAGGTCAGCCCTTTGTATCTCATACATTAAAAAATTCGCATTGTGATGACAGAAAGAGAAACTCAACAAGGTTCCTTTAATTAGAAAAATATACATATTCATATTATGCACAATGTTAATCGCATGTTCCTTGAATGCCTAAACATGGTCTAAGTCTAAGAAAGTATTTCATGATATATAGGCTGGCCCTTAAAATGAGAAACATATAAAACAAAATGTCAATGTCTTATTTTACACACATTTTGTTCTACTTTTTTTTTTTTCTCCTTACTCATAAATGTCTTTTTTGCATTAATATACTAATAGGATTTCCTGTGCTTTTTAATTTCAGTGTGTCTTCTCTGGCATGGTTCATGTCATATCAAGAGACCAGCTTTGTCACTATTGGTCAAAGGCTTCTAGCTAACCCTCTCAGGTAATAAATGTAAAACGTTGTTCTGAAAATTGAAGCAGCTAAGCACGTGTCTAATAAAAGGAACTCTTCCATATCAAGGAATCCTTTCTTGTAAAACTCATCAAAATAATGTTTTTTAAAAAACTATCATAGAAGATACTCGATTGAAAAAATTCATTTCAGTGTAAAGGGTATTTGGCAAACCTCCAATAATTTGAACACTTTGATACACTTGATTTGTCTTTCTAGTTGTGATACAAGGCAAGTAAAAATTGGCTTTATGCAACCAAGAGAGTTATTTCTTTTTCCTCAAATTACTCATTGACAGTTTTTCAAGGATGTTTTCGTACTTTAGTTTCTCTTTAATAAACTAATGGTTATCCGTATTTTCTGAAAGTAGTGTGCTTGTACAAGTAAAGTAGATTTTTCTTCCATATATAAATAAATATATGAAATGTGATAAAGTAATTTCCCTCGTTATGCTTTTCTTTTTTGTTCAGTTCCGTTCTCAAAAAGTTCTTGCTCCTCTAATTACTACTACTTTCTTAATCATGTGTTTTAACTCTACTGTATCATCTCACTCAGGGTGCGGTTCCACTATGGCCATCCAGATGTATTTGATAGGGTTTTTCATATCACACGTGGAGGAATAAGCAAAGCATCTAAAACAATTAACTTGAGTGAGGATGTTTTTGCTGGTAGGAATTGATGACTTCGAAATTATATTCTAACCGCATGTTGTTTATGATAATGGAGACAATTAACAATTAATGTGTTTGTCATTTGTCATACAGGATTTAATTCAACTTTAAGACGGGGATGTATTTCCTACCATGAATACTTGCAAATTGGCAAAGGTCGTGATGTAGCTCTTAACCAGATCTCAAAATTTGAAGCTAAGGTAGCAAATGGAAACTGTGAGCAGACTATAAGCCGTGACATATTCCGCCTTGGGCGGCAATTCGATTTTTTCCGGATGCTGTCATGCTATTTCACTACAATTGGATTTTACTTCAGCAGCTTGGTAATTTATTGAATCATCAAATTCCTTTTCTACTCTTTGAATAGAAATACATTTTTACTTGTATGGAATGTTGACATATCCTATCACTGTTATCTATTTCACTTTTCATTACAAGTCATGAAGTGTTCGAACTGATAACATGTCAATTCTTTATAAAACAAAGTTAAGACAAAGTAAACAAAGAAATAATTCATAGGTCATTCCCCAAATTCAAAAACTAGCATCAGCTTCTATGATGCTTTATATATCATAAATGACAGTGGCATCAGGTTTGACTAATCTAAATTTCTCTTGAATTAATCCACAGATTTCAGTGATAGGAATCTATGTATTTCTCTACGGGCAGCTATACCTGGTGCTTAGTGGGTTGGAAAGAGCACTTGTCGTTGAGGCTCGTCTCAAGAATGTGCAATCCTTAGAAACAGCTCTTGCCTCCCAGTCATTCATACAACTTGGACTTCTGACAGGCTTGCCAATGGTGATGGAAATAGGACTTGAGAAAGGTTTCCTCACAGCTTTAAAGGACTTTGTCCTTATGCAATTGCAGCTGGCTGCGGTTTTCTTCACTTTCGCCCTTGGCACAAAAACACATTACTATGGCCGAACTCTTTTGCATGGGGGTGCAAAGTACAGACCAACTGGACGTAAAGTTGTCTTCCATGCTAGCTTCACAGAGAATTATAGATTGTATTCAAGAAGCCACTTTGTTAAGGCATTTGAGTTATTGCTGTTGTTGATTGTTTATAACATGTTCAGGAGGTCCTACCAAAGTAGCATGGCATATGTGTTGATAACATATGCCATTTGGTTCATGTCTCTTACTTGGTTGTGTGCACCTTTCCTTTTTAACCCTGCTGGGTTCAGTTGGACCAAGACAGTAGATGACTGGAAAGAGTGGAATAAGTGGATCAGACTACAGGGTGGTATTGGAATTCAACAAGATAAAAGTTGGCATTCTTGGTGGCATGATGAGCAAACTCATCTTCGTTGGTCAGGTCTTGCTTCTAGGTTGGCTGAAATATTGCTTTCTCTCCGTTTTTTCATTTACCAGTATGGTCTGGTCTATCATCTAGACATCTCTCAGCATAGCAAAAATTTTCTGGTTTATGTCCTTTCATGGATTGTGATTGTAGCAATTTTCCTCTTGGTGAAGGTAACTTCTCCATGGCCTCTCCCTTACTCTATTAAAAATTTAGTCCGCAAAATCCACCAAATAATACTATTCCCTGTTAATAACATGAATTAAACATCCATGCAGGCTGTTAACATGGGAAGGCAACTACTCAGTGCTAATCATCAGCTTGGATTCAGACTTTTCAAAGCATTCTTGTTCCTGGCTGTCCTTGCCCTCATCTTTACTCTTTCTATTATATGTGAATTGTCATTGATGGACCTTTTTGTTTGCTGTCTAGCATTCTTGCCAACTGCATGGGGAATGATACTGGTAATAATCTTTAGCAACTTTGCATGAGCTAAACTGTCACATTTTCAATTTGTTTGGTGGACAAAACTTAAATGCAGTCACATTAACACTTTTGGTGATGTTTCCATTTAGAACTGGAGTTTCATCTGGATAATCCGCATGCAAAAAAGAATATGAAAATTAAAAAGATGAAACTCCAATTCTGATTGGAGAACAGAACTAAACGTACCCAACAAACTTTTGTCCTTGTTTGTCATGCTATTTCCCTGGAGTTAAAGACAATGAAATTTTTCTTTTGGTTCAGATTGCACAAGCTGTAAGGCCAAAGATAGAGCACACAGGGTTGTGGGACTTCACACGTGCACTTGCAAGAGAATTTGATTATGGAATGGGGATAGTTCTTTTCGGACCTATAGCTATTTTGGCTTGGTTACCAATCATTAAAGCCTTCCATGCTCGCTTTCTTTTCAATGAGGCATTCAAAAGGCACTTGCAAATCCAACCAATTCTATCAGGAAAAAAGAAGCACAGGACTTGACCATCATTCTTGAACTTGTTCATGTACAGTCAAACACCATTCTACGGGAAGATTTTAGGAAGTAGACAAAGGTTACACCATGTACACAATCATTATAACTATTCTTTACCAATGTGTAGTAGAATAAGTTAAAGGGAATTAAAACAGTATATGTTTCATGCAAATATCAATATTCATACCATAAAAAATTTGCTACCTTCATCACCACACCCTCTCACCAAATTCCCCAAGCCCAACACCTCAATCCTCACTCTCCACCAGACCCTCCTCCCCCAACGACGCCGTTTCAAGGCAACTTTTTGTAATAACAACTGCATAATTTTTTTAAATATGGTAATGTTAAAGCATCAGTGTTAATTGTGATGAGAAATATGTTGTGATTTATGTTGATACTACACTTAATATCAATCATATCAATTATCTAAAGTACCTTAACCCTTCAAATAAATAAGAAAAAACAACTAAAAATTGGAAGGACTGACCAAAACATACAAGGAAAACTCATAAAAAGGAAGTTGAAATCTATCTCTCAAAAAAGTTGAAATTAAAAAAAAAAATAATTATTCCACCATTTATAATATTGTAAACTGATTCTAAAGTTCGTTAACTTATTCCACAATAGTGTTTTCTCCTAAATATACGAGGGACATGAATCCTTATATATTTTATCTTCTCCATACAACTAAATCATCTATTATATAATTTTCAAGGTTGAATTTTTAAAAGCTTTCAAATAATGGTGAATCATATTTCAACTAAAGCTTAAATTATTCTTTAGTAAAAGCAATCTCAATCGTCAAAAGAGCTCCCATAATTTAAGTATACAAGGTAACTTGCACGCTCAAGGAATTATGAAAAATAACTCATAACTAATGCACAAGGCAACATGCAAAAACTGAAGTTTATTGAGTAATTTCCTTCTTATTTTCATATTTGAAATGTGAATTTGAAACATGAACATCAAACCATACATATTACCAATTTGATTTGTGGAGAATTAGCAGCAAGAAAAATTCATAATTAAATGCATAAAGGTTTTTGGTTGAGAGTGGTATAAATCTCTTATGTGGATTGAACTCATGTCTCATTGGTGTTATCTCTCCTGTGAATCTCTTCGAAAGACTCAATAGAGGTATCAGAGTTGATAGTTTGTGTGTTGATCGACCGTTTAAGAGTGATCTCTATATCAAAAGTCTTTTTGACAGTAGGTCAAGTAAGTGTGTCTCATTATGATAAATAGCGATACATGGAAAGACCACTACAAGTCTTTTTTGACAGTAAGCTCGAGAGATGTAGCAATGTGATAAAACTTATATTTGAGAGAAATATTGTTAGCAAATCCAAATGTAAGTTTAAGTCTTATATTGAGTAAGAATGAGAAAGTTAAATAACATATAAAAAAGAAAGACACATATAATTTATTGTCTTAAGGTTTTTAGTTAAAGTTAGTGTTAATTTTTATATGAGTTCAGATCATGTCTAATTCTTGTTGTCTCTCTAAAGTGGATCTCCTGCTAAAGATTGAACATATGAAATATTTCTTTTAGTTAGAAATCTAGAAATATAGTGCATAATTAATCTAAAGATGCTACAAGGTAAAAAAATATTTTAGAATGAGAACAAAGAACTTAAAGAAATTATTGAGTATTTGAAAGTGTAATATTTTTATTTCTAATAAGGACATTGCATGGAAAAGCACACATTTTCCCAGAATCTCAATATAATTCTCATTTGGAATCCGAGTTCAGTTGTTTGTGGGAGAACCTCTTTCTATTTCTTCAAATAAGAATATTTCTTATTACGGTCTTTTGTTAGATACATATTCTCAGTCTTTGGGTTAAACATACCGAAAAGAAAGTCTAAAAGTTTCGATGGCACAAATGTATTTTAAGTTTTAGTTATTAATTAATATGTTTATTAAATAAATAAATAAGTTAATATATATAATTATAATAATTAATTTAAGATTAATGAGTTAATATTTATGATTTAAATTATATTATTATATTTATATTTTAAAAATAGATATTATCTTCTTCATCCATCAAGTTAGCATATTAAGTAAAATAGTTAAAACTTGATTAATAGGTTAAAACTACTATTAAAATTAATCAAATTAAGGCGAGTTATCAAATCGTTAATACTTTTAAACCTAAAATACACTTAACCCTTGAACTCTAAGAGTGTGAAAGTTGCAATTGAAGATCCAAAACGGTTTATTGTTACGAATAATGAAGAAATTTTAGTTATCTAGGGAATAACAGTTGGTAATTGATCTCTCTTCCTCCCAAGAGGGTTCCTCTTGTTGTAAATGGATTTTCAGAGTTAAAAAATTGTGAATGGACCTGTTAATAACTTGTTGTTAATGCTTGATTCAACAACCTGGATTTGATTTTTCTAGGACATATTTATTCTACTATGAAGTCAATTATCATTCATATATATCATTCTTACTCTACCTTTAATACGTAAATGGCTTAAGATGAAGTAAGATGAAGTTAGATGTTAAAGATGGTTTACTTCAAGAGAAAATCTACATGACTCAATCTCAAGGTTTTTGTAGCAAATAAATAACCTATCACTAATATTTTTCAAAGGCAATTTACTTTAATATAAATAAATAATTAATTAATTAAAAAAGTTATAACAGTCCTAATCATAATAACTAAAACTTTTTAATCCACTTATACATACCTTGCTTGTTTATTAACTGGGTCTAATAACGATCTAATGACTCTATTCTCCTCACTAAAACCAAATATATCAATGATTTATAAGAAAAAACTGAATAATTCAAAATTAATATTTACTCTTATGATCTATAGGTTTAAATTCATAAAATTTGATTTAGGTTTATCCTACACTTTATAGATTATTATGGTGTGTTGTAGTATATTCATATAGATTCTAATTTAGATTTCTTGAAATGCAAATTATAGTTTCAAGATTTTAATCAAATTAATTGAATTACAAGTGCAGAAACGGAAACAAATTAGTAAACGATGAATTCACGAACTACTATCCATGATAGGATTTGGAATAAATCGAAGGGTTACCAATATATCTTTTATTATCTTTTATTTAAATTAACTATTAAAATATTTTTATTATTTTTTAAATAAGAGAAGAAGATATTATATTATTATTATTATTTTGATTTAGATAGATATAATTAAGATATTATTAATATTTTATATTTTTCATATATTTATTCTATATATATAGAGTATACAAACATGAATAAAAGATGGAGATATATCTCATATGAGATGTATTTCATATATCAGAAATACACATACACAAAAGTCCTACAAATTTCCATCTATAGTATTAGAGTTTTGGTTCTTACGAGAAGAAAGGAAAGAGAAGGAATTTTTTTACAAGTCGTTATCCCAATTCAAATTTTAGATCGCGAAAGTTACTACCTATGGATTATAAGAATATAGTCTTATCTTGAAATATTATATCTATGAGAAATTATAAAAGAAGATTACATCATTGATCCCCTATTCAAAAATCTCACTATAGCCCAAATCAAAATTCGTAAGGAAAGAAAAATTAGAAAGACAAAAGCGAAATCATATTTGCATGTAGGTATTGATGAAAAAAAAACGTCACAAAGAACATCATCGCCTTATCCCAAGAATTACCCTACTAATAGAAAATAAGATAAAAATAATCAACACAAGAATATAATGTGGAAACTCCAAAATTGAAGAAAACAAACCATGACCGTTATATAATGATAACCAGAGAATAATACTATGTGAAACTTTTTACAACACATAGACTATTCTCCCATGTCTTTTGACCCCAAATAAACTCACACTTTCCAAAGAAAGATTTTAAAATCAAACCTCACAACATTCTACTACTACAAGAGTATAAGAAAAGTCAAATACAAGCTTAAAGTATTTTTTACTAGGGTGTCAGAATATCATAGATTTTAGGTCCATTATATAGTTATTATCACCCCTTCATTATTTATCCAAGGTGATGTGAGACTTTTTAAGATATATTATTTTCATCAACCTAATAATCTCTATCATGATTAAAATAAACGCATTTTCCTTTTCATCTACATTGTCTATACTAGCAATCATTCATACTCCATCATAAAGAGTATACTCACTTTGAATTAAATCATTCTAAAAATTTCCTTTCATTGCACACCTGCTTCAATGCTAAGCAATGCTCATGTATAATCACCACACATTCTGCATCAATATTAGTCAATGTCTATGCTCAATTACTGCTAACAAAGACTCATATTTTTCCATGGCAACATAATTATGTCATGAGGATACTTAACTCCATGTTAGAATTTCTTCCTTTCAACGCCTTGTGTAATTCAGATTGTATCAAAATATCTTTGACTTAAGTTTGCCACAAGCCAAAATTGATCCTTCCATTAAATTTCTCTATGTCATATTTGACAACACTTGCAAATGACATTGCAACTTTAACAACCAATGATGATTCTCTAACAACAAAGAATTAATCTTTTCTGTTGTGCAAGATCAGACTAAGTTGCAATCACAAAGTATACTAAGAATATTCTACTAAACCATAAGTTTTGATACCACTCTGATAGGAAAAAAAATGTCATGAAGAACATAATTGTTTTATCTCCAAGAATTACCTTACTAATAGAGAAATGAGATAAAAATAATCAACACAAGAATATAACATGGAAACTCCAAAACAGGAGAAAAAATTCACGACTATTATCTAATGATAACTAGAAAATAACACTATGTGAAAATTTTTTCAACACATAGACTACTCTCACATGCCCTTTGACCCCAAATACACCTGCACTATCCAAAGCAAGAATTTGAGCCACACGTTACAACACTCTACTACAAGAGTATAAGAAAAGTCAAAGACAACCTTAAAGTGTTTTTGACTAGGGTGTCAGAACATCATGAATTTTAAGTTCACTATATAGTTACTATCACCCACTTCATTGTTTATCCAAGGTGATGTGACACTTTTTA